TTTTTTGCGGGGTGCCGACGACCCCCGACCGGTAGGTGCCGACCAGCCGACCAGTCAGGGGTCGCCGACGGTCGGCGTGTGCAACACTGCCCTGGTTGTTAAAAAAAAAAAAAAGAATCGTGGTTCACACTTGATGGGGGCAGAGTATTGATTGCCCTCAAGCGAGGGGATTAACTGCTCATTAAAACCCAAAAGTAAGTCATAATTGGTGATTGGGAGCATTAATTGCCCTCATGCACCAGCAAGAGCAGCACCCTCTAGTCCTGTTGCTGTCAATCAAGTTCAACCGTAAACAAGGAGATCAAGTCCTGTTGAAACATGACCCATCTCGGTTTATTTACTTTATCAAATCCCCATTAAAACCCAAAAGTAAATCATGATTGGTGATTGGCAGGTTAATTGCCCTCATACACCAGCAAGAGCAGCACCCTCTAGTCCTGTTGCTGTCAATCAAGTTCAATCGTAAACACGGAGATCAAGTCCCGTTGAAACATGTCCCATCGTGGTTTATTTATTCTATCAAATCAATCAAATCAGGCGCAGATCAGCTCTAAACGCCCCATCAGGGTTAGTCTAATGTTAGGGAATCTGATCCAGCCCTATCCAACAAAAACGCATCACACTCCTGCGTGCAGCCGTGAATGAAATCATATCAAATCGCCTCAACTCACATCACTCACAACTCTGATGCAACTCACATCAAGCCAAGCAATCATTGGAGCGCATCAATGAGGCGCAACGGGCACACCGCAATTGAGAACAGGGAGGGGCTGAGACAGAGACACAACGCTTCCCTAAACCTCATCGCCCCAGCACAGACCTCATCCCGTGTCGACATTCCCCCCGGGTCCCATAGCGCCCGCAGAATCGCGCCCCGCCCATCCCAACACATCCTCCCCTGCCCCCACCTACAACCACTGTTGCGCCGACCCCTAATTTGACCTGTGTGTCAATAGAAGCACAGTCGATCCGAGTAGCACTTACCTTAGACGCCTTCACTAAGGCCAGTCGGCTTGGTATAATCGTAAATTGTGTTGATGAATTCGTTTCTGTAGAAGTCGTCGCAGTCATCGACTTCGTTTCGGTGATTGCAGCCGGCATCGTTATTGGAGATGTTGTTGATGAAGTCATTTTTGTAGATATCAGCGGAGTCATTGTAGTAGTTTCAGTGATTATCGCGGATATCATCGCTGAAGTTGTAACCTGTGCTGCTGTTGCTTTTGCTGGTGTTATCAGTAGTGATGTAGGGCCGGACACCGTTGTCGATGGCGTAAATTCCTCAGTAGAGTTTGCGCCATCAGCCTCAAGCATAAGCCGCGCCATCATTGATGCACGCTGCTCAGCGCCTTCGTCGAAAGTTGTGTAGCAGCTGTTCAGCAGAGCATCTGCCTTCTGCCAATCAATCAAGGCTTCCAACGCTGGATCCACACCCACCTCGATCTGCCAAAGAGTAGTTAAAAGTTGCTGGGATTTGTCCTCCAGCCATGTACCTGGTGACGATGCTCCCCAATCGCAACCTGGCCAAGCCTGAGCAGTGGAGGACAATACCCCAACCAATATCTGCAGGTGGTGCCGAGCATCTGCGAGCTTGAGAAGCCATGCGTCCGCTTGTTGTTGGAGATACCTTGATGAAGCCATGGCTATACAAACAAGCCACTGCCCTCACTCTGTTGCCACCTGTATTGTTGATGTTGTACACATCCATTCACTCCCTTCTTCCTTCACGCAAGAACGCCGTCTTCGCATTGACTACGAGATGCCTCCATCTCGCCCGCTTCGCCTCGTACTCCTCCAATCATATCCTGCCCACCTACCAGGATTCAATCTTCTCTATCATTCGGTGATGGTGTCCATGTTCTTCCATCTTCCTCGGTACCACCGAGGTCTTGGGTCTCAAGACCGCCGGGCCCGCCAGCCGGTACGCTCCCCGTGCGCTCACGCAAACCATCTGTGATAAGACCTTCCTCCCAACACCCCTTGGACTTTTCTACCTGGGGTACTCCTAATTGAGCTGCAACAGGCATTGTCTAACGGCCCTTAATTGAGCTGCAACAGGCATTGTCTAATGGTCCACGCCAAGCCAAGATCTAACCTTTTTTTCTCTTGAAAACGAGCCCTGCAGACACTAGCGGTCCTGATCCATGCTACTAGTGCTGAGGGGCCGGCCCCATCTATTGGTGGGGCGCATCACCTGCTGGAAAACGGGTCCAGCATCCGACATACTTTTGAGGAAAATGAGAAACAACCAATATGTTCAGGTTGAAGAGAATATCTGAGATCCCCCTGTCAGCATTGATTGCTCTGGGGGGAGTCGGGGGTTTCCAGAGGGTTGACGGTGCAGGGTCGTCCAAAAGCACCTGTTCTTTGTCTGTGCCCTGAAATGGTAGGGGGCAGGAGGGAGGCGGGGAGGAGGAGTGGGGAGGGGGATGAAGGACCATGGGGCCTCCGGAGCCTTCCCCTCCCTCACCCGTACCCTCTTCTCCGTCTATTCCGGGTTTGCTTCAGTCCTCCTGTAGCAACGGAGGATGGAAGGGGGGGAAGGTCCACTGGCCTTCACGGTGTACTGGGGTCGATTGTTGTCCACTCGTGAAAATGCAGATGGTAGTCCCTGGCTGTGCCAACCTCCAGTTGTTCCTCTTCTACTTGCTTCTGTCCTTCTTGTGACGGGGGGTCCCCAGAACATGTCACCTTAGCCATCCGCCCCCCCGATTCCCGCCCAACCAATCCATGCAGAAGCACAAAATGATCTTGCTTATGT